ATTTTCATTCCAGTCAGCAATGCATGAGAGATCCATCTGTTATACATCTTTGCAAACATTGATATCATGGGTAATTTTTATTTTAGCCATTTTAATAGATGTAGTAGTATGTTATTGTGGTTTAATTTGCATTTCCCTGATGGCTAATGATGATGAATATCTTTTCATATGCTGTTTTGATTTTTGTAAAACATACTTAATGGAGTATCTGTTGAATCTTTTTGCTCATTTTAAATTGGCTAGTTTCCTTACTGTTGAATGTTAGTAGTTATATATATATTCTGAATAAAAGTCTTTTCAGATATGTGATTTGCAGGTATTTCTAGTCTCTGAGTTGCCTTTTCATTTTCTCTTACACTGTTTCTCTTCCCCTACCTGTCCTGATCTGGCCTTTTTATTCTTTATTGTGCAAGAGCTGTTCAGCTAGTTTCCATGTGTTTTTCAGAGAGAAATATTCTATATGTAGATTTGCTTCATCTAGGGAGAGCAGATAAGTTCAGGATCTTCATATGCCACCATATTGCAGGTTCATTTTCTTTAGCAGGACTAATTCATAGATGGTGGTGTGTCTTTCCACCAGGAAACATAATATCTTGTTGTCTTTCTCTTTTTTAATTACAGCTGTTAATTTTCTTTCTTTTTGTTGTGATACAAGGAACTTTATTACAGAAATAAGAATAGAAAATGCAGTCATAAAACTCATGTCTTTGTGACCATATGAGGGAGTTCTGCCTCTCTAGCATGTCTCTCATTTAGCCTAAATCCACTAAGATTTATTAGCTTTTCTTCTGTCTGTGAGACTTCACCGTCTGTGGGCCATTCACTGCTCTGAAAAGGGTGGTACAGCCATTAATTCAAGGCTAGATCCATGAATTAATTAGGAGTTGTAAAATTGGGATATTTTATTTTTATCATTATTTCTTTATACATTAGCTGGAATCATTTTATAAAAAGAAATTTCCCCTCAAGTTTGTTTGGTTACATTGTGGTACAGGATACTTAAGAAAAACAGATGAATGTGTAATATTTTACCATCATTTATCAGTTTTCAAAATAATGAGTTGTTCCAATAGCATCCTCCAATAGTAATTAATTTTTTCTGTTACTGTGAGTTCATGGATTTAAATAAATTTGATGTGCTTCAGTACACTGCTGTTACTAAATTTTTTAATGGTGAAATTGTGACAGTGCTGGACAGGGGGAGCCCCTTCAAGATAGCTCTTGATTCCTTTCTGACATAATCATAGTGATTTTTGATAGCTTCCTTGCTATTGGTGAAAACAGAAATATCCAAGCTTATCTTGTATACATTCAGTTACTTCAACACCATTGAGTTACATTGGCATCTTTGAAAGGAAAGTGATCATAGACAGATGGACCTATTTCTGGACATTCTCTTCTATTTTATTGATCTATTTGTTCTTTTATGAATACACTTTTCTCTTAATTACTATAGCTTTATAAGTCTTGAAATTTGGCTGTTTGAGTGCTCCAACACTTGCTGTTCTTCTAGGTTGACTTGGTTATTCAAGTCCTTTGTATTTCCATAGAAAGTTTCGAGCAAGCTGCCAATTTCTACAACATAACAACCCAAACAACAGGTGAATGGATAAAAAAAATTGTGACATATCAACACAATGGAATACATCTCAGAAAGAAAAAGGACCAAATTAAAACATGTGACTTACTTCGAGTGAAAGAAGCCAGGGGAAAAGAAGTACATATCATATATTCTACTCATGTAAAAGTTCAGAAAATGTAAACTGATGTTCTGTGAGAGGTAACAGCAGTGTTGTCAGGGGATGGACCTATTACAAAGGTGGATGAGAAAACTTTTAGTGTATTAGAAATGTTATTTTAATTGCTGTGATAGTTTCACAGTTGTAGACATTTTTAAATGGATAAAACCATTTTAAGGAATTACTATACTTCCACTATATTTTAATAAGTTGTTTAAAAACATTTAGGTGTTTGTTTTTAATTTACTTTTAGGACCTACATCAAATGCTATACATCCATCTCTAAGTAGTTCAAAGAATGTTGTCAAAACATCAGTAACTTCAGTGGTTTATCAACCAGACGAAAGTAATGGCACTGAACAAAAGGTATAAAATGATGTCTCAAACTTTTCTATGATGATTATTCATTTATCTGGCAAACTTTCACTATTATAAATCATCTCCTTCACTATCAAGGTATTGACTGGTTAAGGATATTAGGGCCTCTTTATGAAACCAGTCCTTTTCCCTGAAATTGTTGGACTATCTTTATGCTAATTTCATTGTATAATTTAGCAGAAACTAAGACACATTTAGCAATTATGATGATAATAATATCTAGCATTTATTGAGCTCTACTGTTGGCTGAACACCGTGTTAAGCCCACAGGGAGGGAAAATGAGGGAACTGGGACACGTAGGATATAAAGATGTATAAGACATAATCACTCCCTTTGAGAACTTTGTCTTGTGGGGCTGAGAGACACACAAAAATGTTAATGTTGTTACAGTAAAATGACAGTGTGGGTGATTGATTTTATTTTTATTCTAAGAATTGCACTCATTAAATATTACTTGGATTGGAATGGGTTGAATGGTATCTCCCTGAAGCAAACTGAATGATTCTAAACTTACCAGAATCAACGACTGAATGAATTACTATATCTTAAACAAATTACAGAATATTAGAAGAGGAGCAAATGGCTATATATTGAACTCAGTTTTGAACTAGTTAAATTTGAAATCTGTGTGGAAGGTATCCTAGGTAGTTGGTAATATATATAGTCTCTGGGACAATTTTTATGAGTTAGAGGGGAAAAAATCTGTATTAATTTAGTTGATTGATAGAAGGCAAAATCCTTTTCAGAAGAACAGTTACTAATGAATGTTTTTCTCTTTAATTTTGTACCATACAGAAAGATGGAGTGATAACTAAAAATCCAAGTACTTTTGGTAATAAAGGTAAGAAAATGAAAAACTGTAATACTGTTAATAGAAGAAATAATAGAGTCCTGTACCTGCATGGGTGGACCCTCCATCTTTGTGACAAACTGTAACCTAGGGGTTGAAGTACTCTTGACACTGCAGTCTATCCCTAACCTTCCTGGAATTAGCACATTTTAATTTCAGTCAAGTTGTTATTGCAGCACGTCTTCTTGGCTTTGTAAAAGTACTACACAGCATAATATTACATGTTTTGACTAGAAATATATTTTAAATAAATACATGAATGAATTCTCTAGAGATCACTGCAGACATGCTAGGATGTAACACTGAAGTTGGAAATCATTTCTCTGCCCCAGGATTTCCAGCTTCTTAGGGCCCCTAGGCATCTAAGCAAGACAGATACCAGCACTTGACAGAGACTTGAATTCTTCAGGGTTATTTTCTCGACTTTCTGGCTAAAGTTAAGAATCCACAAGGTGGGAAATAAATACCTAAAGAAAACCCAATTTATTTCTTGATTAGATTTTTGTTTTTTTTTAATGAGGTGTTTGAAAGGTGAAATTCATATGCCAATAATTACCAATATATTGAATTTTTTTGCTTTTTTTTAAATTTTGATATCACTAATCTATAATTACATGAAGAATATTGTTTACTAGGCTCCCCTTCACCAAGTCCCCTCCACATACCCCTTCACAGTCACTGTCCATCAGCATAGTAAGATGCTGTATCATTACTTCTCTGTGTGGTAGAGCCTGCCCTGTACCTGCCTCCCACAGTATACATGCTAATTGTAATGCCCCCTTTCTTTTTCCTACCCTTATCCCTCCCTTCCCACCCATCCTCTCCAGTCCCTTTCCCTTTGGTAACTGTTAGTCAATTCGTGGGTTCTGTGATTCTGCTGCTGTTTTGTTCCTTAAGTTTTTCTTTATTCTTATACTCCACATATGAGTGAAGTCATCTGGTACTTGTGTTTCTCCGCCTGGCTTATTTCACTGAGCATAATACCCTCTAGTTCCATCCATGTTGTTGCAAATGGTAGGATCTGTTTTCTTCTTATGGCTGAGTAGTTTTCCATTGTATATATGTCCCACATCTTCTTTATCCATTCATCTCCTGATGGACACTTAGGTTGCTTCCATATCTTGGCTATTGTAAAAAGTGCTGCGATAAACATAGGGGTGCATATGTCTTTTTGAATCTGAGAAGTTATATTCTTTGGGTATATTCCAAGGAGTGGGATTCCTGGGTCAAATGGTGTTTCTATATTTAGTTTTTTGAGGAACCTCCATATTTCTTTCCACAGTGGTTGAACTAGCTTATATTCCCACCAGCAGAGTAGGAGGGTTCCCCTTTCTCTGCATCTTCACCAGTATTTGTTGTTTTTAGTCTTTTCGATGCTGGCCATCCTTACTGGTGTGAGGTGATATCTCATTGTAGTTTTAATTTGCATTTCTCTGATGATTAGCGATGTGGAGCATCTTTTCATGTGTCTGTTGGCCATCTGAATTTCTTTGGAGAGCCATCTCTTCATATCCTCTGCCCATTTGTAAATCGGGTTATTTGCTTTTTGGGTGTTGAGGTGTGTGAGTTCTTTATGTATTTTGGATGTTAACCCCTTGTCAGATATGTCATTTACAAATATATTCTCCCATACTGTAGGATGCCTTTTTGTTCTGTTGATGATGTCCTTTGCCGTACAAAAACTTTTTAGTTTGATGTAGTCCCATGAGTTCATTTTCGCTTTTATTTCCTTTTCTTGAGGAGATCGGTTCAGGAAGAATTTGCTCCTGCCTATATTCAGGAGATGTTTGCCTAGATTGTCTTCTACGAATTTTATGGTTTCATGACTTACATTCAAGTCTTTAATCAATTACAAGTTTACTTTTGTGTATGGGGTTAAACAATAATCCAGTTTCATTCTCTTGCATATAGCTGTCCAGTTTTGCCAACACCAGCTGTTGAAGAGGCTGTCATTTCCCCACTGTGTATGTCCATGGCTCCTTTGTCATATATTAATTGACCATATATGGTTGGGTTTATATCAGGGCTCTCTAGTCTGTTCCATTGGTCAATGGGTCTGTTCTTGTGCCAGTACCAAATTGTCTTGATTACTGTGGCTTTGTAGTAGAACTTGAAGTTGGGAAGTGAGATACCCTCCACTTTATTTTTCCTTCTCAGGCTTGCTTTGGCTATTCGGGCTCTTTGTTGGTTCCATATGAATTTTAGAACTGTTTGTTCTAGTTCGTTGAAGAATGCTGTTGGTAATTTGATAAGGATTGCAGCGAATCTGTATATTGCTTTGGTCAGGATGGCCATTTTGACGATATTAATTCTTCCTAGCCAAGTGCATGGGATGAGTTTCCATTTGTTAGTGTCCTCTTTAATTTCTCTTGAGTGTCTTATAGTTTTCAGGGTATAGGTCTTTCACTTCTTTGGTTAGGTTTATTCCTAGGTATTTTATTCTTTTTGATGCTATTGTGAATGGAATTGTTTTCCTGATTTCCCTTTCAATTAGTTCATTGTTAGTGTATATGAAAGCCACAGATTTCTGTGTCTTAATTTTGTATCCTGCAACTTTCCTGAATTTGGATATTAGTTCTGGTCATTTTGGTGTGGAGTCTTTAGGGTTTTTTATGTACAATATCATGTCATCTGCAAATAGTGACTCTTTAACTTCTTCTTTACCAATCTGGATTCCTTGTATTTCTTTGTTTTGTCTAATTGCCGTGGCTAGGACCTACAGTACTATGTTGAGTAACAGTGGGGATATTGGGCATCCCTGTCTTGTTCCCAGTCTTAGAGGATAAGCTTTCAGCTTCTCGCTGTTCAGTATGATGTTGGCTGTGGGTTTATCATATATGGTCTTTATAATGTTGAGCGGCTTGCCCTCTGTACCCATTGTGTTGAGGGTTTTTATCATGAATGGATGTTGAATTTTATCAAATGCTTTTTCAGCATCTATGGAGATGGTCATGTGGTTTTTGTCCTTCTTTTTGTTGATGTGATGGATGATGTTGATGGATTTTCGAATGTTGTACCATCCTTGCATCCCTGGATGAGTCCCACTTGGTCATGGTGTATGATCTGTTTGATGTATTTTTGAATTTGGTTTGCTAATATTTTGTTGAGTATTTTTGCATCTACGTTCATCAGGGATATTAGTCTGTAGTTTTCTTTTTTGGTGGGGTCTTTGCCTGGTTTTGGTATTAGGGTGATGTTAGCTTCATAGAATGAGTTTGGGAGTATCCCCTCCTCTTCTATTTTTTTGAAAACTTTAAGGAGAATGAATATTATGTCTTCTCTGTATGTCTGATAAAATTCTGAGGTAAATCCACCTGGCCCAGGGTTTTTGTTATTGGGTAGTTTTTTGATTACCACTTCAATTTTGTTGCTGGTAATTGGTCTGTTTAGATTTTCTGTTTCTTCTTGGGACAGTCTTGAAAGGTTATATTTTTCTAGGAAGTTGTCCATTTCTGCTAGGTTTTCCAGCTTGTTAGCATATAGGTTTTCATAGTAGTCTCTAATAATTCTTTGTATTTCTGTAGGGTCTGTCATAATTTTGCCTTTCTTGTTTCTGATTCTGGTGATGTGTGTTGATTCTCTTTTTCTCTTAATAAATCTGGCTAGAAGCTTATCTATTTTGTTTATTTTCTCGAAGAACCAGCTCTTGGTTTCATTGATGTTTTTCTATTGTTTCAGTCTTTTCCATTTTATTTATTTCTTCTCTGATCTTTATTATGTCCCTCCTTCTTCTGACCTTAGGCCTCATTTGTTCTTCTTTTTCCAATTTCGATAATTGTGACATTAGACCATTCATTTAGGATTGTTCTTCCTTCTTTAAGTATGCCTGGATTGCTATATACTTTCCTCTTAAGACTGCTTTCGCTGCATCCCACAGAAGTTGGGGCTTTCTGTTGTTGTCATTCGTTTCCATATATTGCTTGATTTCTACTTTAATTTGGTTATTGATCTATTGATTATTTAGGAGCATGTTGTTAAGCCTCCATGTGTTTGTGAGCCTTTTTGCTTTCTTTGTCCAATTTATTTCTAGTTTTATACCTTTGTGGTCTGAAAAGTTGGTTGATAGAATTTCAATCTTTTTGAATTTACTGAGGCTCTTTTTGTGGCCTAGTATGTGGTCTGTTCTGGAGGATGTTCCATGTGCACTTGAGAATAATGTATATCCTGTTGCTTTTGGATGTAGAGTTCTATAGATGTTTATTAGGTCCATCTGTTCTAGGGCGTTGTTCAGTGCCTCTGTGTCTTTACTTATTTTCTGTCTGGTGGATCTGTCCTTTGGAGTGAGTGGTGTATTGAAGTCTCCCAAAATGAATGCATTGCATTCTATTTTCTCCTTTAGTTCTGTTAGTATTTGTTTCACATATGCTAGTGCTCCTCTGTTGGGTGCATATATTTTTATAATGGTCATATCCTCTTGTTGGACTGACCCTTTTATCATTATGTAATGTCTTTCTTTATCTGTTGTTACTTTCTTTGTTTTGAAGTCTATTTTGTCTGATACTAGTACTGCAACACCTGCTTTTTTGTCCCTGTTGTTTGCATGAAATATGTTTATCCATCTCTTGACTTTTAGTTTGTGCATGTCTTTGGGTTTGAGGTGAGTCTCTTGTAAGCAGCATATAAATGGGTCTTGCTTTTTTATCCATACTATTACTGTGTGTCTTTTGATTGGTGCATTCAGGCCATTTACATTTAGGGTGATTATTGATAGATATGTACTTATTGCCATTTGCAGGGTTTAGGTTCACTGTTACCAAAGGTTCAAGGTTAGCTTCTTTACTATCTTACCGTCTAACTTAACTCGCTTATTGAGCTATTGTAAACACTGGTGATTCTTTATTTCTCTCCCTTCTATGATCAATTCATAGCAAAGTAGGAATCTAATGATGTTCAGAAGGATGATAAAAATAGCATTGCAATAGAAATGATTAATGCTTTAGCCCAGAAAGCAATCTCTGCATTCAAAATTCAACCACTTTTTTTCAGGTGATGGGTCTTCTACCTTCTTTTCATTTCTAAATCCACATAACATCACCCAGAGGATTCAATGCCTAACAGAGAAAATTTCTACACCAGTAAACAGATGCTTAAAATGGAACCAACTTGCTTCACCAACACAATCATATAAACTTACTTCTCTAAACTCAGACCAGAAAAATTTAGTGAACACACTGGCAATAGATAGACGTGCAATGAATAGAAAGAAAGGTTTCAAAGGTGAGGAGACATCAATGAAAAAAGGCAACATCCAATATCCCATAGTTACCACTATAACTGGAATCATGAAAAATAATGTGGTTAACCTGTTATCAGAGTCAGCTGCAGGTGTGGCAGATAAAAAGGAGAAGGAAAATAAAATGAGAATTTCAATTAGAAAATACAATGAGAATATATCAAAAGTTACTTCCACTACTAGTACGAAAAGTAAAGCTACAAAGGACCCAGACTTAAGACTAACACATAAAAATAATGACACTGAGAAGGAAAGTACATCAGCTCCAGAATCTGAGGAAAGGCAAGGTAATGAGGCACACACACAATTTTCAGCAGCTACTAATGATATAGAACATGAGAAGGAAATACCTGGAGCAGATTTTGAAACAGACAGTGAAAAGATTAACAGAGTAAGAGAAAATTCATTAAAAAAAGAAGACGAGCCCTTTCATTTATCTTCTTTGGCATCTAAAGTGAGAAATACAGAGACCATAACACAGAAAATTTTGAAAGCAGCTACCCCAAAATCAAATGGAATGGAAAGACAAGCCTCTCCATCTCAAATCGCTGTAAATGAGGAACAGTATTCAGATTATGATCATGTTCAAAATATCATTGAAAATACTTATGATGCTGTCTTAGAAATATATCATTCTCAGGGATCCACAGATGATTCACATGTCCAAAGTCCCCCAAGTGATAGGTCACTGCAGGTAATTCAGGAGGTTGGCAAGGATACTGCACAGTCTGTTTCAACAAAGGATTTATCCCTCTCAATTAGCAAAAATCTCCCTGCCATAGAGAAAGAGGGAGAGAAAGAGAGAGAAAAAGAGAAAGTGAAAGTAAAGGAGATTAAAATTGAACCTAGTAAAACAGATAGTCATCAGTACCAACCAAAACATAAAGCTGGAATTTTTCCTGCTACATTTTTAGAAGATATTATCACTGAAATGATAAACAAATTGATCTTTTCCTCGTCACCAGAAACACAAATGTGTGAAAGATGTGAAAATGTAAGTGAGGATGAAAATCAAACGGAACTGTATGACACAGTTATGAAACTTACTGATTCACTGTTAAAGGAGTTTTCAGATGCTCAAATTAAGGTATTTAGAAGAGACCCGGAAAATCAGTTTCTTCCCCCAGTAGAAAACATGTCATTATCAGTTCCTAAAGTACTTTCCGGGCATAAAGAGTCAACTGCAGAAAAGGCATCATCTAGCATTAAGAAAACTGTGGATGAAATTCCACATATGCACAAAATGACTAAAAACTCCTCTTTAAACAAGATACCTTTCCTAAATAACATACCAGCAATTGATCAAACATTGGTCAACAAAGTTGTTCACTCCTCTGTATGCAATATTTTGAAGGAATATAGGTCTCAAGACTCCATTTGTAAGAGTATAAAAACTAATGGGGAAACCATAGCAAGACAACTAACTAGTGCAGTGATAAATGAAATTTTTCAACAGCAGCTTAATTTTGGATTTTGTGATGAGATTCCAGCTTCAGCATGTTTGCCTCTCAAATCTAAGGATGTTGTTAAAAAGATCCAAAACGTGGTTAAAAGAGCCAGCAAAGAATATCAAGCGTTGTCACCATATACCGTCATGCTGCCTCATGAATTTTTAGAGAATGTGATTTCTGCTCTCTTATCTAAAATTTTCTCAAGTCTGTCTAACACCAAAGCAGAAACACCTGAGGGCAAACGGTTCACAGAACTGGATTTTCTTCAAATGAAGTTATTAAGTACAGTTACAACAGAGATCTCCAAATATGATATGATTATACAGAATGTGGACTCCTTACATCCCAACGATGATGAAATTATTCAATTAGTGGTTCATTCTATTTATAGTGATCTTTTGTCACAGTATGGGTCACGAGAGATTATACAAAATTGTGTATCCAGTGGATGCAGAATCCTTTTCAAAAGCATAGTTGGCCTGATTCTAAAAGAAGTGTCCGGCAATCAGCTGCAGAACTATTTTTCTGGAGAGCTAACTCCATATCAGTGTTCAGAAGTTAACTACATTGTTGAAAATATTCTTAAAGATGTTATCACAACTGCTGACGCTCCCCAGCCTCAACCACGTGCTCATATACTGCCTTTTGATGTAATAGAAGAAACTGCTGTAAAATTTTTATCAAAGCTTTTATCTATGTTTCCAACAGTAGATAAGGAAAGAACCAAATCTGGAGAAACTGAAATGCAAAAAATGCGAAAGATAACCTCAAAAATATTAAATTCAATACAAGAATTTATCTCTAAAAGTAACATTAAACTTGTATCACCAGCCAAGAAATTGCCTACTGTACCTTCAGCTGACAATGAAACTATTGAAAAAATAGTTAATTCTGTTTATACTAGTGTTTTAAAGCACTCTGGCTCACACATCTCTATATTGAAAGATTTAATGGGTAAGAGCAATGCCCTTTCTAATATAATAGGTTTTTTAATGGTGCAGGAAATTTCCAATTCTGAATTTCAACCTAAATTTGAGGAAGAAGTATCAAATTCAGAATTAGTTTTGGAAGCTGTCAAAATTATGGAAAAAGTTGTCAAAACTGTTGATAAGTTTAAGTCCCAGGAAAAGTCTTCATCCAAAAAAGGTCCTATGTTAGATACTATAACTTTAGAGGAAGCTTTGGCTTTGTTCTTGGCTAAAATTGTAACATTGCCCAGTGTCTCAAGCAAAGATGCAAAAAACTTGTCAAAGCCTGAGTTAAATAAAATTGCATCTCAACTGACAAAATCTGTGGCAGCTGAAATTTCCAAAAATAATATTAATCTTGTTTCTGCTGATCCTGAAGAACACTTTTTAAATCCAGAGAGCATAGAAATGATTTCTCAGGTTATTGATTCTATTTACAGTGATATACTGCAACAATCTGGAACCCATAAAGATCTTTATTATAACATAAAAGGTACAAACAGAGCCTTCATTAAGGAAGTGGCTAGTTTAATTATTAATGGAGTTTCAAATCTTCAATTAGATACAGTTAAGTTAAAGAATTCAAGTGCTGATCTCTTTGGAGATCAAGACATTAATAGAATTGTTGAAAAGGCATGGAAGTATGCTGATAAAATGATCCCTGACTTAGAAAAAGGAGAGTCAGAGCAAGATTCAGTTGAAGATGAGTTTCCAATTAAAATAGTCCCACATATTAGGAAGAAGCCAGTCAAAATAGATCCTGACATTATCTCAGAACACTTAGCAGTCATTTCTGTAAAAACTCAATCTCTTGAAAAACTTGAGACGGACTGTTTAAGAAAAACTGGACATAACATAGAAGAGCTAAGAAGTGCCTGGAGAAGTATCTCTTCATCAGACACATCTAATTTAGGAAAGATAAAGAAAGGAAGACATGCTTCATTGACTAAGACAGGACAATTGGATGTAAGACCCCTAGAGGTAAGTGCAAAAGCAGTAAGAAAACATTAAAATTAAAATTCAAAATACAAGTGAATAGTGAGGCATAATTGTTCTGTGATTCCCTTCCTCAAACAGGTATATGGAAGTGCATTTTTTCTTATTGCCCAGCACTGTGAGAATTGGTTATACTTGTTCATCAATAAAGTGATGTAACTTACTGGGACTTGCCACATCAGCTCTGTGGCTCACACTCTCAAGGTCTCAGGCTAGTTTTCCTAAGACAATCAGTTTAAACTGGCTTTTAAAAGAAAAATATGGGAACATGGGGACATACACTTAATAGTAAAACCAGGCTGACTAAAATTATGATCTTCATTTGAAAATTCAGAAAAGCAATCTCATATAGTTCCTGTAGGTTTTTATTGTGGGTAATCTAATGGTATCTTAAAGACCCAGTTAATAGGCTATCAGGATATATGAACTTTCAAAAATAAGCTAAAATAGTTTTAATTTCTCAAACTTATGGCTCTACACAGTACTTTTTACTTTTAGCAACATTCATCAACAAACATTAGACTATAGACACTTAGATTATACTTCTTTATTATCTTACTTTAATTAGCCTTCCTGAGTTTTTCTATACTCTTAAGAAGTGCCCAGTTTCATTCCTCTTCTATCCTTGTTCAAGACCCAGCAGCCCATGTACTGCCATTTTTATGAACCCATTTCTTCTTGCTATAGACCTATAGCCCTGTAGCTCTATACTTGAGCTCCAATACATTAAACTAATTGGGATTTAAAATGCTGAAATGATGTTCTTGTTACAAGAAAACTATACCACTGAGGGCAAAGGGATTGTCCCATAGAACTGTGTTGATCCACTATACTTATGATTTTTAACAAATCCCCTTGTACTGATGGTATTTGCTCCTAAGAGGACTGAATGTGTTTAGGGATATAATCTATGGCCTGCACAATAACCAGAGTTACTCCCTGGAATGTAAACTTGAAGTGAATTTTCTCCAGCACTGTCTTGTTACTGACTGAACTAAATCTTGGGATGAGAAATATTTCAATAAGTGCTTTATGTGTTCATGCCCAAATATGGAGATTATCATGGGCTGAGGCTCTAATTTAAACCATTTGCCCTAAGTATTTTGTACCAGATGACAGTGCTTTCTAGCTCTAAAGTTACCTCTGCCATTTGGGTTCTTACATTACATTAGCACGTTACTTGGTAGTCTTCATTCATATGTAAGTAATCCCTTGGGAATAAAATTTCTGAACAGAATAACATTACTTAAAATTAGTTTTTAGTTATCTGTAGAATTGTCAGAAATTTTACTCTTGGTTTTCTCATAGTCAGAAATGCTGGTTTCATCGATAGCTTGAGAAATGTTATAATATTAGCAGAAGTCAGAATCGATGCATGAACAATCATCTCAGTAGTAGCCTTTTTGAGATTCTAACAGACATTACAATAGAGTTATTATAATAAAAGTTAGTACCATGAAATCACACATGACTTCCTGACAAATAGATCAGAGTGTAAGCAGTATGGAGTTTCTCAAAAGAACTAAAAATAGAAATACCACCTGAACCAGTAATTCTACTACTGGGTAATCTACCCAAAGAAAACATAATCATTAATCAAAAAGATATATGCACCCCTGTGTTTACTACAGCATTATATATAATAGCCATATATGGAAAGCAACCAAAGTGTCCATCACTGAATGGATGGAGATAATGGTATTTCTATGGAATATTACTCAGCCATAAAAAAGATTTCTTGCCATTTGTGATAACATGGATGGGCCTAGGCAGTTTTGCACTAAGTGAAATAAGTCAGAGAAAGAGGAATATCATATGGTTTCACTTATTTGTGGAATCTAAAAGCAAACAGAAATAGACTGAAATACAGAGAAAAGACGGTTACCACTGGGGGAGGCATGGGTGAAATAACTTGTAGGGGGTAAAGAGGTACAGACTACAAATTACAAAATAATTTAGTCACAGGGATGGAAGTATATAGGGAATGGTGGTAAAGGTAATTGCGCTTATAATGGTGAGCATTCAGTACTGTGTATATTGATGAATCAGTAAGTTGTTCATCTGAAACCAATATAATACCATGTATAAACTACATTTCAATAAGTCCTTTTTTCTAAAAAAGATTGACCTGACAAGCTACTGAATTGACCAGAGTAATATTTGTTCTTTTTCTTTTTAAACTCAGTAAGAGATGATAAAAAATATTTGTAAAGTACAGAAGTGGAAAACTATATTCTTCAAACATTGTGCTAGCTTCGTGTTGAAAATCTATACAATTCAAACTCTACTATTAGTCTATAGATCATATTCACTGAAGCATTTTCAAAGAACATTAGAAACATTTTAATTAGAATTATAGGATTCATCTATCTTTTAAGTAATCTCTAAAGCCTTGTGTCATTTAATGTGGACATCAGAGTGTAAAATATGCGAATAAGGTGAGAAAGTTATCTATCAACCTCTCTTGAATGTAATATCTGGTTTTCACCTTTCCAGAAAGAAGGGAGAAATCTTACTGCTGAACGAATATGTTACTTAACAGAAAGAATTAAGAGTATATCTTCATGCAAGCAAGAAGATTTGAATTCATATGCCAGGTCCGTGAAATTAAAGCAATATACATATAGAAATCTGAGATGAAAGTAATGCTTATGGGAAGAATATGGTGCTCAACCATGGGCAACGCTTCAGCCCTAGACCTTCCCTCAACTCCTCATTATTCTTCCTTCCCTTAGCTCCCCACTGTGGACACTTCTTAAAGTGTCCCTTTACAACATGATGGCCTATTTGCAGTTCCCTGGTCTCTACATCCTTTCTAGCATTGCAGGGTCTTGGATCAAGAATTTGCTAGTGTGTTTTGTTTTTGTTTTAACCTGGGAGATAGACACTGGGTCACAGCAGTAACTGCACTGTTAACCAAAGGTTCCTACTCAACTCTCTTAAGGAGCTAAATGTTCCAGTGTGTATAACTTCCTATAAGAAGAATCTAAAGAAGAGAAGGAGCAGTGTAAGCTTAAGCATTCAGAGACCAATTCTAGAAAGCAATGGAGTTTGATGTGAGCCTATAAGGATGGACAGTATTTACATGAAGAGAAGAGAAGACTAAGTGTAGATGACTAGGTGCAAAATCTGGACTGTGTGGCAACTATAGAGGACAAAGAACAGAGTACATTATAGACTTAAAATCTAGACTGTATCTAAATAGTTAAAACTTGTTTAAAATTGTTCCTAACCTTGTAAGAATATTCATAATCTGGAATATGTACCATTTTCTATTGTGAGAGAAGCAACAAGTATAGAAAAAGAATCTACTTGGTACTTTTTTTTTTCCCCCACACAGTGTGATAGATTGTTTCTTTTTCACACACTATTTTGGAAATGTACTCCTGCCTCATCATTGCCTCTTTTCTTGCATAATGGTTATTTTAACATACATAATTAGTAATGCAGGCATCTCACTATTATTTATATCAATGATGAAGGCAGAGGGCATAGGAAATACCAAAAGTCAATTTACAGCAAAATGGCATATGAGCCAATTGTGGTCCCTTGTTCCTCAGAGAAACAAAACATAAACTACCAACTGGTAAAACAACTTTATAGGAGGTCTGGAAATCAACTATCTGAAGTAAGCAAGTGAATACCCAACCAGGGAAAAACCACATTCAAAATGGTGGGAAATTCTGCAGATTTTTATGTGCCCTTGCCCAACCTCCTCTGCAAGATGACATGCCACAGCTGGGAAGAAATGACCCAATTCTCAGTTCTCTTCTGGAGTGGAAAGAAAAGACTGGAACTTGTTTGCAGTGGACTGACCTATCTGTAGGCTCCAATTCACCTACAGGGAAAACTAGATAACCACACACACAAAAATGTAGACCCTTATCTTACACCGTATATAAAAATTAACTCAGAATGGATCAAAGACCTGAACAAAACTATAGAACTCTTATAAGAAAACATAGGGGGGGAAAAAAACCTCATGAAATTGGATATGGCAATAATTTCTTGGATATGACAAGCAACAAGAAAAATTAGATTAAGTTGAACTTTATCAAAATTAAAATCTTGTGCTTCAAAGAACAGAGTGAAAAGTCAGCCCTTAGAATGGAGAAAATAGTTGTAAACTATGTATCTGATAAGGGATTACTATTTAGAATACATTATTTTAAAAGATCCTATCAACAACAACAAATCTGCAGAGAAGATATACAAATGGGCAGTACGCACATGAAAAGATGCTCAACATCACTAGTAAGTGTAAATCAAAACCACAATGAGATGGTACTTCACATCCATTAGAATAGTTAAAAAAAAAAACAAAATAACAAATGCTGGCAGGAAGGTGGAAGCAATTGGAACCCCTATACATTGCTGTCAGGTATTTTAAATGGTACACTATGGGTAGTAGTATGACAGTTTCTCAAAAAAGTAGTTAACTTATGATACAGCAATTCTACCTCTGGGTATATACCCAAAAGAAAACGGACTCAAATGTTTGTGTGCTCATGTTCACATCAGCATTATTCACAGTAGCCAAATTGTGAAAGCAATTTACAGAGCCCATGACAGATGAATGGATAAACAAAATGTGTTATGTACATATATTCAGTAGAATACTATTTAGCCATATTATTCTGTCAAATGCTACAACATATACAGACATTATCCTAAATGAAATGTCAGTCACAAAAGAACAAATATGATTCCATTTATATGAGATACCTAGAGTAGTCAAATCATAGAGATAGTATGCAGAATAGTGGGTCTAGGGAGGGAGACAGAAGGTGTTCATATTTAACGAGTACAAAGTTTCAGTTGGGGCGTATGAAAAAGTTCTAGAGATGGATTGTGGAGATAGTTGCATAACAATTCAGGTATAGTCAAGCACAAAACTACACTTAAACATGGTTAAGATGGTAAATTTTATGTTATGTATATTAAGTTTTAAAGGTGGGAAAAAAAGTCAATTTAGAAATCATTTTCATTTGATTTGGAAAGTCAGTGATATAAGTGACATACTATTCCAGGTTTACTTACACAAGACGAAGGACTGACAGATTGTTATTTAGCTATAATTTCTTCATTCATTAAATACGTAAAAAATGAAATGTTCTTCTTTTGTTTTAGTGAGATTGAAGATTGTACCCCAGATGCGAGTGCTAAAATATTTGAAGGTGAAAGTCTTTCCTTAATTTAAATTAGAAAGTATTCAAATGGAGACCTTGTTTAATGCTTTGATGAATCTTTAACTTATCAAACCTAAAGTTGATACTGGTTTGTTTGTTTGTTTCCTGTGAGCTTATCTACTTTTTGAAAATGATCCAGTACTGTATCACTCAGGTGTTAAAATGAGCCAACATTGCAGCTTTCCGATTCAATCATTTATTCATCCATTCAAGCTCTAAGTAGTAAAGCTAAGACTCAAACCTGAATTGCTACTAAAATTTTATTAATGATTTTAGTCAAGAATATGGTGTGATATTATGAAGTTACATTTGCAATGCTCCTGTGAGAAATATCCATAAAATAATGGTGTATCGTATGATAGTTTCTATCATAGCCAGAATCCATGATACTAGAATTTAATGATTTCTTTTTGAGAACCTGTCTTTCCTTTGTACTTAGCCTGACCAAAATGCATTTTTAAAAAAGGATTTTAGAGCTAAATTTATTTGCTCACATTAAAATCCGGCTGATATGGACCTAACTTTCCTTAATCTCTATTAAGACTGTGTCTTTAGAAAATTTATAAGGAGTTTTTCATTCTCTATTTGTTGGAGGCTCAGAGAGAGCATCAGTGTGTTTCTAACAATGATAGCATGTACAAGAGGTAGGCTGTCATGTGTATAGTGTAGTGACCTTGAAACTCACACCAAGGTTCACCCTGGCTATGTCAAACATACAACCCACTCAAGGAGTTGCTGGAGAAACATTCTCTCAACTTGGAACTGAAAATCATTTCCAGTAAGATGATTCATAAAATAGTGGCAAGTATTCCAGAATTCTATGAACATGTCATATCCAAAAGGTGTCCCAACAATCACTGATACCTGCATTTATGGAATCATAGGCTATTAGAGAAACCACTTAGATACAACCCCCCCTCATTTTTTCTATGAGGAAACTCAAGCTCAGCCCAAGGAAGTGACTTGTCCAAGGTTATACTGAATAAGACACAGAGCCCAGCCTGGATCCCATCTCTTGAAGTGTTTTTTTCTTCCAACTTCGTTGCAATGATCATGCTTAATTCTTATATCCTTCAGTAATATTGCAGCTGTCCAATTCAATAATTTATTCATTCAAAGATTTACTGGGTACCTCTTGTGTTTTAGGATCCCATATATGCATAAGACTAACAAAGTCCTTGGTCTTATAGAATTTACATTATACCTTGGGGCAGGGTATCAAAGGGTAGAGACATAAACAGGATCATCACAGATATTGAAAAGTACTTCCCGTGTTATCTGAGACAAAAGCCAAAGAAAGTTCAATGGCTTGTGAAACCCTACATGATCTAAACATCACCCCAATCCCCTAATACCTCTGTAATCTCCTCTGTTCCTCTTCCTGGCTCACTCTGCTCCAGTCTCACTGACCTTCTTGCTGCCTCGTAAACATTTGAGGCATTCAGGGCCTTTGTTCTGGCTGATCTTCGTATAGCACCCATCTCCCCATATCTGCATTGCTCATTCCTCACATTCAGATCTTTGCTCAGATGTCACCTTCTCAATGAGGTCTTCTTTGACCATGCTCTTTAAAACTTATTTGGAGCCTCATTCTCACTATGGCAGTACCTGTTCCACTTCTTTATTTTTCTCTCTAGCACATTGGCACAATTCCTATTTGACAGACTATTAATTGTTGTTTTTACTATCTCCCTCTAGATTATAAGCTCCATGAAAATCACAGCTGTATTCCCAAGAGCCTAACACAGACATGTAGTAGGGAGGAGGCGTGTATAGGAGAGACTATGGGAGTAACTAGTGGGTGGGGTAAGGGGGTGTATGGCACAATTATGTTTTCGTTATGTTGAAATTGAGGTACCCATTAGATATTCAAGTTGAGGTGGCACATACACAATTGAATGTTTAAGTCTGGAGTTCAATAGGTAGGTTAGGACTGGTCATATACATTCTCAGTTTCACATAGAATATGCAATAAAATCTAAAATAACAAGTCTGAATATCTGAGATCCTCAACTACTGAGAATTTTTCTGTGACTTTTTATCAAAACATATTCCTAGTATATCCTAGCCAAGTTGATGGCTACTTAGCCTAGAAACTTAAAAAAAAAAATGGTGCTTGAAATGGTAGCCTTGGTAGTGAACCAGATGTCCTTATTCAGTCATTTAAAAGCAAAAGGCTGTTCAGTTATGTGAAATACAGAGTCAGACACTTTAGAAAGTTTATCAACAAATAATGAAATTATACCAAATTTCTCAGATAAGTCAAATAATTAGTCCATCTCATATTTGAGTTATCTGAGGTTTTACTACTACTACTTATTTTTTTAAATAAGAACCTACTTTGGCCCAAAGGACAATTCAGAGTGACCACTTGCACTGGCTCCTGACGATGGCATGTCTACAAAATGCGTAGTTTTTACATATATCTCATTTATCCTCTTATGAGACAGGGAGTGTCATTCACATTCTACATATGAAGAAACAGAGAGAAATTAGATTCAATTTGGCAACATTCACACAGCTCTAAGTAGTAAAGCTAAGACTTAAACTCGGGTTTTCTGACTCCTTAGTAGGTTAGCTGCCTCCCTAGCTGTGGGTCTTTGTGAAACTTCTCTCAGTCTCATTGTGGTAGATACTTAATTTCCTTGGGCTGAATTTCTTTTACTGGCATACTGACATCGCCTGGGACTTGGGCAACTTTTAGTCCTGTAGCAACTCCTCAAGATTTCTTCTTAGTATTACCTCAAAATTCTCCTCCTCCTCACCCAAAGTATTTCCTAAGACCAGCATTTTCCTCTTGTTCCATTTACCTGTTTTTAATAAACTGTGTAGAATCAAAGAGTGTTAGAACTAGAAAGGCCCTTAGGAATCATCAGCAGAATAGTCCCTTCATCCCTAGATTTATGTGTAAACAAAAAGGCCCATAGAGATTGAATAGATCTGCACAGATGTGTAGGTACAGAATTAGAGAGTCTGCCTCTCCTCCTAATCACACTTCATTTTCGTAATTCCTAAATGAAGGGCTAAGACAAGCCCCAGAATTCCGGGGATCTCATCTATTTCAGTTTTGTACACCTTATGTATACACTGAAAAACTTCTCTGTCTGCCTAATTTCTATGACTTTTTGGTGAAAAATAAGATCAGGTTTGTATTAACGCCACTCATGCTTCAGAAATAATAAATGCTCACTTCTGTTTTTATATGTAAAATTATCATTTTGTTTACATTAAAATATATTCTCTATGAGTCCATGTTCTGAATAAGTGGTACAGAAAAGTGAATCCAAATGGAAACATTATCAATACAGTGTTATTTCACATGACAAAAAAGTCACTTGAAGTTAGTCAACTAAACACTTACCCAAAGTGGGTGAGAAATTATAGCAGTTTTAATGCACTTCTAATTTCACTTGAGAACTCAGAAGTAGACACCTTCACTGTACATTGTTGAAAAGTTACTTTCCTATGTGAGTTTAGCTCATCACAGTGTTTCAGAGAGTTTTCTGTTAGAAAAAGGCATCTTTTACATACCTGACTAGAGAAGCATCAGAATGCAGTAGATATAATGACACCATGAAAGTCAGAAAGTTAGACTCTATCCCCAGGCTGGCCACTTTCTACTCGTGACCTTAAGCAAAATATTTTACCTCACCAAGATTCAGTGTGCAAAATGAAGATATCATTCTTCTTGTTTTCTTCATAGGAGTGTTGGAAGGATCAAAAGAATCTCTGTGAATGGTTTTGAAATCCTGCAAATTCTTTTATAAATGTGCATTTCTGAATTCTTAATAGCCAATGCTGTAGTATGTGTGACTGCCTCAATTAAAATGTCTAATAAATATCCATATACTTTTTGCTTTATCCACAGAAATTCCCAAGTCCAGTATTACCAAACAAGGATCTAAAATGCTGGTAAAGGTGTCTTCAGCTCTGTCAAATGTGTCTTCACCTCTGTCAAAAGTGTCTTCACCTCTGTCAAAAGTGTGTCTTCGAATTAAGACCAGGATTTCCAAATCTTCAACACCGGCAGGGTGGGCACTGAAGCTCCTATACCTGATATAACTATGCTTACTTCCCTGAGAAAATAAAATGTTTTGTAAAGCATAACATAATGCCCTATAAGATGACTCTTGTAATACCGAGCAAAAAACTAACAGCCAAAGAAAGTATGATAAACACCTGGGTAAGAGAAGGGTTTAATAACCATTTCTGATAGACATACTGGTATGAGAAAATGCCAACTTCTAATATTACCTGTGTGCCATGAGAGAAAGAAACAAAAGTGTACCTCGTAAACCAGTCAGTCCTCAGTAACCACCACAAAATGAACATGAATTTTCCTGCTAAATTTTTGGAGGATATTTTCACCAAATAGTTAGCAAGTTAAGATGAGACTCCAGCTGGATTTTATGGCACTATTACTTTGATTGGTTCACTATTACAAGTATATTCCGACATTCAGATAAAAGTGTTTATTGCAGATATAAGAAATCAGGTTTTCCCACCTGCAGATAAAGCGTTATCAGTTTATAAAATACCTCGCAAGCAAAAAAAAGCCAGCTATGGATAGAATACCAGCTAGAGATGAGTGATTACTGTGGATAAAATACTATATATGCATAAAATGAGACATGTAATTAAAGAAAAAAACCCTTTACACACAAGTTACTTTTTGTGTGTAAGAAAGATGTCATCAGTAAAGAAATGGTTGGTAGTAAAGTTATTAAATCCTTTATATAAATAATTTTACATGAACATAAAGACTATAAGAACATGAGTAATGAGGAAAATTTAACAAGATGGATAGCTAGTACAGTGTTAGAAGAAATTTTCAAATCAGTTGACTTGCTACTTTGTGACATGGATCCAACTGCTGCATGGTTGTCACTGGAATCTAAGGATCATGTTTAAAAGGTTCAAAAGGTGGACCAAACAGCAAAGAGTGTTAATCATAATCACTAGCTCTCCTAATGCTAACTCATGAAATTTTGGAGAATGTGTTCTTTTTTCTAAAATTTTTTTGACAGGGAGCCAGCTCTAAAGCAGAAACACCTGAGGGAATTTTGATTTACAAAGTTGTATTTTCTCCAATAAAGTTAGGCAGTCAGTTTATGACATGGAGACCAGAGGAAAAAATGTGATTATATAGAATTTTTACTTTCTAATAATTTATTTAATTAGTAATTTAGTCCAAGTTTAACAATCTCTAATAAATGATCTGATCTCAAAGATCATATAAAACCATGAAACCTATAGATACAGATCTTTCAAAAATGACAGTTAATAAGAAATGACTGGCACCCCAGTTCAAACCTGTTTTCAGAAGAATTCTACCAGTGTGCGTACACTGACTGTGGTGTCAAAAGTATCCCTACAGATGCCATACAAACCACTGATGTTCCCCAGCCCTAGACGTCACGTACTTTTAAACTGCCTTTTAATGGAACAGAAGATTTTTACTGAAAAGTTTTTTATTGAAGCTTTTATCCATGTTTTAAAAAATTGATAATAAGCAAATCACTAGTGACTGAAATTCACTGTGGTTTCAAGAAACTCTGGTTCACATACTTCTATAAAGATTTAGTACTTTAGAATAATGTACGCTCTGATAATGTGTTTTCATGGTAAAGGAGATTTCCAATTTTCTCCAACTCTAGTAGAGGAAGGAGCATCAAGTTCAGAATTACCTCTTGAAGCTATTAAAATTATGGAAAAAGTGGTTTAAATCATTGATAAATTTAAGTCCCAGGAAAAAACTTAATCCAGAAAAGGTTCTGTGTTAGATGTCATATGTTAAATGAAACTTTGTGCATGTTTGGCTAACCTTATCAAAAAGATGCTAAAAGTATCAAACATTGAATTACATATTACCTGATAAAATCTGTAGTAGCTGAAAGTTCTACAACTAACTGTATTTGAGCCACTGATCCTGAAGAATGTCTTTGAAATCCACAAGGCATTGGAATGATTTCTGAGGTGATTTACTCTATTTATGTTGTACTAAAACAGGTTGGCAAACTTTTTATGTGAAGGGCTAGATAGTAAACACCAAAATTTGCAAAGTATTTAGTCTCTGTCAAAACTATTCCATTCTGCCTTTAGAGCATAAAAGCAGCCAAAGATTACATATGAACAAATTAATATGGCTATGTATGACTCAATGAAAATTTATGAACTGTGAAATTTGAATTTTATTTACTTTTCACATCACAAAATATTAGTCTTTTGATTTTTTTCAATGATTAAAAATTTTGAGAACATTCTTAGTTTGTAAAAGACCACCGGGCTCCTTAGGGGAAGAGACAACCACACTGAGAAGCAAATATCCAACCAAGAGATTTATTTAGCGGCACCGAGGTTGCTGCCCGCGAGAGTGAGAGAGCAGCAGCGCCGGCTGGGGAGCTTTGGCTTATATATCCTGTTAAGGCATTTGGCACGAGCTGATTGTTTATGGATTCGTTGGGGTCAGCTGGCGGGAGTTTATTGGTCTGCATCACAGAGTTTTTGTGTCATGAGGGAGAAGCTGAACCTAATCTAGGGAAACCGAAACTTAACGGTTGCCATCTTAGAACAAGGAGTGTGGGGGTTCGGCACTATTTGACTAACAGTTTGCAGGCTGGTCAAAAATAGATGCCTGGCCAGATTTATGCCATGAGTGGTAATTTGCTGTCTCCTGTATTATGAAAATTTGGGACCCATAATTTAGTTGAATATTTGATAAAGAACACAGAATTTTTCTAAAAACAATGAATTTGGGGAAGTTTTTCATTTTATTACAAAAAATTAGTACATAAAGTTCAAATGCTCATTTATTTAGTGATTTCATTATTGAATACATTGCCAAAGAGGCACATGAACATTCTACTAAAATATACCTTTAGTTAGAAAAAGGAAAGTCAGAGATTCATGATGGCATCATGAGAGGTAAGAAAGAGAACTCCTAAAAACCACATATAATATGAAAATATAGTTAATAAAACTAATCCTAAAAGAGCAACAGGAAAGAAGACTGCACCAGACTGCATACACCTGAAGAACAGAGCATATCTCATGAAACAAAGTAACATACCAAAGCCTTGATCAGGTGGGACCCAAGCCCTTTCCCCACCACACCTCACTGGCAGGAGGAAGACAAATGGAGCGGGGAGGGGGTGGAAGCCCAGCAGTTTGGAAACTTTCAGGAGCTTCAGACACTCCGTCTCTCAGCCTAGTTGCTCAGCTCCAAGGCCTCCCATTGTGATACACAACCTGCTGCTCCTTCCTCCTGGCCTACTGGCACTGTCTTGCAAATCAGCAGTCCCTGCCAACTGCAGCTACAAACAAAACGTGCATAGGGTTACACCTGTGTACTCAGCCCACAGGTTCTGACAGTGGAGACAGGCACAACAGCTGCGAAGCAGGAAAGAGCTCCTTCTGTCCCCCTAGGCACAAGCACTGTTCCACTGGGACCCCTGATGTCACTCCAGGGGCTGAGCAGCTCCAGAGAATAGAGCATCTAGGCATTTGAGGGCACCACATACAAATAAGAAATGTCAGAGAAACCTGGTTCAAACAAAAATCTCAGAAACACTAGAAAAAGGGCTATATGAAATTGAATTCACCAGTTTTCCTGAAAGAGAGTTCAAAATAAAAAATCATAAACATGCTCATGGAGGTACAGAAAAATATTCAAGAACTCAGGGACGATTTTAGAACAGAGATTTGAATCATTAAGATATTCCATATCTGAAATGAAACATAACAATGGAGGGATTTCAAAGCAGATTAGATGTAGTAAAAGGGATGGTAAATGCAATAAAAATTAGAGAAGAGGAATACAAAGAAGCTGAAGCACAGAGAGAAAAAAGGATCTCTACAAATGAGAGAATGTTGAGAGAACTGTGTGACCAATCCAAACGGACCAGAAGAAGAGTGAGGAAAATGGATAGAAAGTGTCTTTGAGGAGGTAATTGCTGAAAACTTCCCCAATGTGGGAAAGGAGATAGCCTTTCAGACCATGGAGGTGCATGGATCTCCCAACACAAGGGACCCAAGGAAGGCAACAAGACATATAATAATTAAATTGGCAGTATTCAAAGATAAAGACAAACATTTAAAAGCATCTAGACAGAGAAAAATGATGACATACAAAGGAAAAAACCATCAGGCTATCATCAGACTTCCCAACAGAAACCTTACAGACCAGAAGGGAGTGGCATCGTATATTCAATGCAATGAAGTAGTAGGGCCTCAAACCAAGATTAATTACCCAGCAAGGTTATCATTTTAATTTTAAGGAGGGATTAAATAATTTTCAGATAATCAGTAGCTGAGAGAATTTACCTTCCACAAACCACCTCGACAGTGCATTTTGGACGGACTGCTATAGATGGAAGTATTCCTAAAGCTAAACAGCTGTCACCAGGGGAAATAAAAGCACAGCAAAGTAGAATACTTAATTACTAAGCAAATGCAAAATCAAATCGACTACCCCTAAAGTCAATCAAGGAATAGACAAAGAGTACAGAATATGCTACCTAATAAATAAATAATGAAGGAGGAAAAAAAATCCTGGTAGCATACTAAGTGAGTTAAATTAGACTCTTAGATAGTAAGGGAATTACCCTTGAACCTTGGGTAACCACGAATCTAAAGCCTACAATGGCAATAAGTACATACCTATTGATATCACCCTAAATGTAAATGGTCTGAATGCACCAATCAAAAGAAAAATGGATAAAAAAACGTGACCTGTCTATATACTGCCTGGAAGAGACTTACTTCAAACCTAAAGACATTCACAGACTGAAAGTAAAGGGATGGAAAAAGATATATCATGCAACTAATAGGGAGAAAAAAAGCAGGAGTTGCAGTAGTTGTATCAGACAAATTAGACTTCACAACAAAGGAAGTAATAAGAGACAAAGAAGGACATTACATAATGATAAAGGAGTCAGTCCAGGATCATATACTTCCAGACTGCAGGTGACTGAAACTGCAGAAAGGGAAATGCAGATAAGGGGGTACTATGTATATTACAAAACTCTCGTAACTAAAACAGTGTGATATTGATATAAAAATAGACACATAGATTAATGGAACAGCAAAGAGAGCCCACATATAGATGCACACATATGTGGTCAACTAATTTATGACAAAGGAGCGAAGAATATACAATGGGAAAAGAACTGTCTGTTTAATAAGTTGTGTTGGTAAAATTGGACAGCCACATGCAAAAGAATGAAACTGGACTACTATCTTACATCATACACAAAAACTAAGTAAGTGAATTAAAGATTTGAATATAAGACCTGAAACCACAAAACTAGAAGAAAACATAGGTGTTAAGCTCCTTGACATAGGTCTTAGTGATTTTTTGGATTCCAAAATAAAAAATAAAGTAGGACTACATCAAGCTTAAAAGCTGATGTACAGCAAAGGAAACCACCAACAAAATGAAAAGGCAACCTACTGAATGGGAAAAATTTTTGCAAACTGTATATCAGAAGATATATATTCTCAATATATAAAATCTATATATAAAGAATTCAATAGCAAAACAAAAAATAAAACAAAGCAGTTTGATTTAAAAATGGGCAGAAGATCTGAATATAGATATTTTTCCAAAGAAAACATACATACAGATAACCAACAGGTACATGACAAGATGCTTAACATCAGTAATCAGGGAAATGCTAATAGAAACCACAATGAACTACCACCTCACACATGTGAGAATGGCTGTTATCAAAAGGACAGAAAATAGCAAATGTTGGTGAGGATGTGGAGAAAAGGGAATCCTTATGTACTGTTGGTGGGAGTGTAAATTGCTGCAGCCACTATGGAAAACAGTATGGAGGTTCCTAAAAAAACTAAAATGATGTATGATCCAGCAATTCCAATTCTGGGTATTTAACCAAAGAAAATGTAAATACTAACTTGAAAAGATATGCATCTCCATGTTCATAGCAGCATTATTTGCAGTAGCCAAGATATAGAAACAACCTAGATGTCCATTGATGATAAATGGACACACACATACACACACGCACTGGAATATTGACTAGCCATAGAAATCTTGCTGTTTGTAACAACATAGATGGACCTTGAGGGCATTATGCTAAGTGAAATAAGTTAGACAAAGACAATAAGGCTCTATGTGGAATCTAAAAATAAATAACCCCTCCACCCCCACCAAAAAAAAGGCTCATGGATATGGAGAACTGATTGGTAGTTTTCAGAGGTCAGCAGGGGCAGGGGTTGAAGGGAGAAATGGGAGAATGTTTTTGTTTTTTAGTTTAAATAAGTTGTATAAAAAGAAATTTTAAGAACTGAAACACTGCTTCTCCTTTAGACTTATAGTGAATGGCCAACTCAGTTCAGGAATCTTTGAAGTTTTCTCTAATACTTCCCAAATTAAAAAAGCATTTTAATTATACCATGGGTTTGACTGTTCTAGCAGTTCCCAAAATGTGTTCCGCAGAATGTTATTTTTCTGGGTACACCATCATTGGCAAATACAGATCCAACAAAATGAAACAGGTGTCTTTACTATAGGCCTTCCCAGAATGTTTAATTTGTTAATATGCATTTTAAAGCTTCAAAAGGAGAGTAAAGTATGCAGCAGTGGGTTTTCAAGTTTATTTGATTGTGAAACCACTTCTTTTCTCAGTTAATCTCTTGAAACTGTTTTTCTGAGAAAAATAATTTGACGTAATCCTGGTTATCCTCTGAATCACATCAGGGTTCTTGGGAACCGAGTGATACATGTTGTATAAGTCTAGTCTAACACTCCACATTTTAACGTCATTGGTATTAACATGTGTGACTTTAAAGAATTTGTATTCAAGTTGAAACACCCTTTCATAAACTTGCTGATTTAGTTATTGATCTTGGTGGGAGATGAGAGATGAGGTACCTCTAAACCTCGACTCAGATTCTCTACTAAATGCTTTTTGTTCATCCTGAAGGTAAACTTTGGAGACCTTTTAGTTACTGAACCTGTCAATGCTGACAATGACATGCTTCTGTATTTACAGGCGACTGATAGCATTCAATGAAGAGGAAGAAGAAGGTGTGAACTGTAAGACTCGTCCTAAGCCAGGCAGATTTTTGGGCCCTTCCACCAGCACCCAAATCAAAGTCAAGAACTCAGCTTCAGTTAAGGTGTCTCCAGCCAGTCCCCTCCAGGCCTGGTCCCGGATATCGGTGAGCCCATCACCAGGTGGAAAGGCAGTTCAGTCCTCTGTGCAGTCAGAAGCCACCACCTTGGGGCACACTGGGGTGCCTGGGCAATCGCAAGCTTCCCGTGGGACCAACGGTGCTGAAAATGGGATCACGCACCCACCTCCAACGAAGATTCTGCTCTCCGACAAGAAGGCCATCCTACCCCGAGTGATAGAACTAAAGCGGACTCCCCTGCGTGCCACCGGGCCTTCCCCGCCCACCTGCACAGCAGTGAGGCCTGGGGGGTCCCCCAGAGTCACCCCGCGAAGGCCCGGCCGTGCCGGCTGAGAATGGTCTGGGCAAGGCTGATTGACGGAAACCATGGACCTGCGGGGGCTTGTTTGCCCCCAGAGCCCAGCCTAAATGGCACTGTTTTTGATGAAATGGAGGTGAAATCTGATGTTTCTATTTAGGATAATGATGGGGAAAATGAATTCTGTGGCGTAGCAATGGAGGAGGGAGACTGGTGGTTGGGCCTGTGTTTACTTCTCATTTTCCCGACTTGTAAGTGATTATTTGTCTACAGAGAATTTGTATTTGTGTCTTGGAGATGCTGCAGGTTTGATTCTAAACCATAGCAATAAAGTGAACATTGCAATAAAGCAAGTCAAATTAATTTTTTGGTTTTCCAGTGTATTATGTTGACACTGTTCTGTAGTCTGTTGAGAGTGTAATAGCATTAAGCATTTAAAAAATGTAAATACTATAATTAAAAAATACTTCATTGCTGAAAAATGCTAACCCTGCTTTGGAACTTTCAGTGAGTCTTAATCACTGACGATCACCACAACTTCATTACTGTGAAGATCACAGTTCACCATAACGAATAATAATGGAAAAGTTTGAATTATTGCCAGAATACCAAAATGTGACAGACACAAAGTGAACAGAAAAATGCCTCCAGGAGACTTGCTTGACGCAGGGTTGCCACAAACCTTCAATTTGTAAGAAACAGTATCTGGGAAGTGTGGTAAAGTGTAGCTCCATAAAACAAGGTCTGCCTGTATGCACGGGTGATTCAGTCAACAGCCTGCATTTCTTTGCATTACGCAGTTTAAGGGAAGTCTATTTAGTGCATTTATCAGAATATTTGATTTTTTTGGAATATCTACTGGACCAAGGTACAGCTGAGGTTGAAAGGGACAAATGGACCCTTATAGGTATCAGGCAGTGAAGTCAAATTCAGCCTGCTAGAGTAACTTGAACATTATTTGGGTGTGGTTCTTGGGGGTTAAGTTAATTTTGCATAAAAGCACATTTTTCCTGATACCAATCTGCAAATGAGAAATTCATCACAATCCATTGCTCTTGCTGGAAATTAAAAAAAATAAAAGGAAAGCATGCTTTATAGGCAGTGATTCTGTTTTACTGCTTTGGAAAAGTAGTTTTGTGCAGCTGTTTAGTCAGATGACACAATAGAAAGTCTTAATGGTGAGTAGGATATGTATTGCTCATATAAAAAAGATAACTGACTATGCCCTTTCCGGTGATCTGTGTGTTGAGAACTGGTTTGCCCTGATTCAGACTGGTTTGTTGTATGGGGGAGAGCCTCACGCTGGCAGTGGAGACCAAAAGAAGGGTTTGTTTCATTTATAGTTTTAGATAAGTTTTTGTTTCAATATTGCCTTATGTTAGTTTATAAAGTATTTTCATCTACTTAATTGTTCATTTTTCTTTTTTGATTCAGAACAACAACATAATTAAAGTAGTCTTTCCCAATTCTTATTAAAGATCAAGAAAATGAGTTCATCAACTGAAGGCTGTTCAATGACACCTCATGCCCCCTGCACACATACACATTCTAGTCCCAGATTTGATTTTGGCAGAATGACACAGCATCATTGACCAAAGGAAAAGCTAGAGGGAGGAAGTAGATGTAAAGGTGTGAATTTGTTTAATATTTAGAGTTTTTGAGCTGGAAGGTATGAAAGCACTGGGTTTCATGTCTGTCTCCTAGTAGACAGGGACTGCTTTGCCTCTGTATCTGCACTGCCCGGTAGGCCTTCAGTAAATTCTGAAGAGTTAGGGCAACCCTCTGTCCCCAGTTATTTTAGAAAATGTATCTGACAGCAACCTTCAGGGGTGTGGAAACAGGTTTGTGACCTGAGGGTTTATAGTGCCAGAAAAGGAGATATAGTGCAAGTTCCTTAGCATGAGTGTCGCTAATGCCTGCAATTACCTTTAGCAATGGCCATAATGGGCACCTAACTTGTCAAGTTCTTTAAAGTAATTCCAAAACATAGCTCACAAGATCCCAGAGAGGATGCTGGTGGGTGGACCCTGGCTGACTTCAGAGAAAGAGAAAAGCAGTCTCTCCTTTTTCTCTCCTGCTTTTATGCTCTTGCCTGAATTGCTGATGCAATTTCTTTTTCTTTCACAGGCTGGGCCTTATTACTTCCTTACCAAGTGCTACCACTGAAAAAATTGTTGACTCACTTCCCAGCCTATGGATAAATACAGTATAATTCTTTCCAGCTTTACTTTGATTTCTAAAGAAGGAATTAACATACAAGCATATTTGGCTTTACCTGAGAAGCTGTTGATAGAAAAATTTTATTTAAATAGCATTTTGAATGTGCACAAAGATTTGTGATAGTAAATTGTTCTGTAAAGAGAAGAATGCTAACATATGAATATGAGGCTGCCTTAGAAAAGGATGGCCTTATATCTGCAATAGTTTTGAGTAGATTTAATCTCAATTTTGTAGGATGTTGGTTAGACACTAAGCAGGAAGTATGAACTTGGTAAAATGAAGGAAAAGCTTCTACTACAGCAAATGAAAACTGTAAATGAAAACTGTCTTCAATTGATTAACGTGTATTTCTATGTTAACTAGGAACTTAGCTACCGAAAATACTGTCATTTTCCATATGCTAGGAAACTCCCTTGAAAACTGTCACCAAGTTGCTGATACCAGTCAGTGAGGGGTGGGTGACTGATTCTTTGTTGAGGGCTGCAGTTCGCACACAGGATTTCAAGCATGTAGAATAGCCAAAAAAGGAAACATGAAGAGCTAACAGAAAAAAAGTTGGTTTCCAGCTGTTTTCAGAGTTTCATAGTCACAGAATTTGGTTGGTGGTACAGCCCTCAAAGAAGCCATTTTCCCTTACAGTCCTGTGAGTGGAAGTTATCATGAGACACATGGTTTACACACATTGTTACACATTATTACCAAAAAGCTAATTTTTCTTTGTTCACAGGCAGTTGTTGCCTCCGTGCATACCCACTTCCTATTTTGCCAGCTAGACAGTTTCTAAGGTAGGCTGTGGCTAAGACAAATAGAATTGGACAGTAACCGTCAGTGTGCTGCCCTGCTTATTTAGCAACTTTTTATTTGATAATGTTGCTTCTCATACTTTTCATTTCCCCTCTTTTACCTGAAGCCTTCATTGCCTTAGTAATATTTTGCTCAGCTATAGGAATGAATATAGGGGCTTGAAACTTAGAGGAGAAGTTTATTCAAACAGAGAGCACATTAAACTTGTTTAACACTGGCAAGCACATGGAAAGCAAAAGGGAGTATATTTGCTGACGTTGGAAAAGGACAAGTATTGCTTCCTTCTGCCAAGATTTCTTAACATTTTGGACATTCTGCTCCAATAGCAGCTCTTTCAAGAACTCATCTGTTGATTTTTTGGTTTGGAAGACGTGGGTACTCAGTTTCTATGTAGATGACAGGAAACGCCCAAGGCTTCAGAAATTGTATATTTAGACTCAGGTGGTGGGTTGGCCAGACTGGATTTGTAACCCAGGCTGAACTCATCAGGAACCTTTGAGGAACAAGGAAGTATGTCCTTGCTCATTGGCTCTGTCTCTGTTCACTTTCTCCAAATCCCTTGCACCCTCCAGAGGAGGGTGTTCCTGTGCTGACACTGTTGACAGTTTGGCTAATTCTTCATTGTGTGCAGACTTACCACATAGTTTGAGATGTTGAGCAGCATCATTGCGAGCACCCCTACCACCGTTGGGACAAGTCAAAATGTCTCCAGACATTTCCAAGAGTCTCCTGGGAGTGGAAGGTGGGCACTGCATCAATCATCCACAGTTGAGAACCATTGCTTTAAGTGGGTGATTTAACCTGAGCAAAATCACTGCCTCTCCTAAGTGGGGACTGTGGATGAGCAAGCAAACACTGGAGCTGTCCATCACAGGCCAGAGTGGAGACCTGGGGATCGAGGGGGAGGATGATCCCAGAGGAAGGATGTCTCAGGCCTGTGGATTAAAAAAATCTGTCCTATTAGCTCCCACTTACATTTCTGATTTTGGTATGTTAGGAACATTTTTGTTTGCAGTTCTGGCCAAGCAACTACCCAGTTAAAAACTAACATGTACTGTCCTATGCCCTTTGTATACTAATTTACTTAGTACACCAGCCCTGTGATTTAGGTGTATTATTATTATCCCCATTTTACAGATGGGGAAACTGATGCACAAAGGGGCTGGGTAGGCTGCCTAGCAGCTAGTATGAGGCAAAGACAGGATTCATGTGTATGTTACCTCCCTTGAATCCAGGCCTTCTTAGGCACTACGGTAGGCCTCCTCTTATAGGGGCTTTGCCAGTACAGTCCCAGAGATAAGCTAGATAGGACTTAGCAACTTCTGCATGCTGCATAGCTTTTATTTATTTAGCAAATTCTCTTTTTTTTTAGTCTCAGGAGAAATTTAACTTTTTTGCTCAGAAATACCTTCTCAAATTTTCTGCAATGAATAATGTTAATTGAATGGAAAAAATGAACTAGCAAATGCGTTACAAACTACTGAAAGCAACACCAAGTGTTTATAAAGTGATACCCTTTGACATGAGTTCGTCTGTTGTAATAATGACAACTACAAGACTAAGAAATTAGAAAAATACTAAGAAAATCTATCACAGATTCCAGCCAGATAGTCCAAGATGTCATCCTCTCCTATTACAATTAAACACTTCTTCTAGCCTTACTTCCTTTGAGAAAATCTAGCTAGGAAGCTATTGTGTAGCAAAACCATTCTATTGTGCTCATTGTATCAAATACCTTTATACTGTTTTCTAAGTATCCCTATGCCAGTTATGAACTCTGCCTCTTGGTTACAAGCCCATTCTTCACTGTCCTGAATGAGCCTGGAGCTGGATCCTGTAAATACTTCTCTTTAGCCAGTTGACCTTGTTACTGGAGGGACACTGCAGGAAGAAGGGGCTTTTCCTCGCTCAGTGTGCATCCCTGTGTTCTTTATCCGATAGTGTTTGGTTGCAGTGTGGGACCCCAGNGATGCAGACCCCCTCCATCCAGAAGGAGGAGACCTCTGGCTGTCCATCACCTGACCCTGAGCCAATAAAAAATTCCCCACATACGCCTAGGGCTGTCCACTTTCCCCTCCCTTCCCTGTTCTCTTAAAAACTCCCTACCTCCCCTTCTGAGCGTGACTTCCCTGGCCTGTGATACCCAGACCGGGGAACATCACCCGGGAATTGCACTCAAATAAACTGCCTGACCCTTTGTTGCCTCTCATTGCCTGCTTATTTTGGTTGGAATTTATCTTACATTTTAGAATTTATCTTACAGTTACTAACAAGACTTTGTCACTGTAGTCTCCCTTGAAACTTGTGGGTAAAATTGCAATATTTC